AAATAATCATGACTTGATTCATGCCTGAGCTTTCATTCACATCTCACTGTATAAGAACAGAAAATCAACAGGAAACTGTCTTTAGCTCATCAAGACATAAAAGCAGAACAAGATTATCCCACATATGAAAATAAATGTTAACAAAACTCAGTTGAAGTGAAAGTCGTCGGCTCTGTGTCTTTTCACTGATAACCAACAGAAACATATGGAAAACATCTGGAAAACACTCCAGAAACACTCAGTCGAACCTCAAGTCTAAAAATCACAGATCTCTGGATGAACCATCTCCAAGTGAAAGTCAATTCTTTCTTCTTCTAGGATTTTTGACTGATTTTTCGAAGCACTTTTTACACCCTTTCTTTCTCCTCCTACTCTGCTTCAGTTCCTCATTTTAATTACTCAATGAACTTGCTATTTAGTTTGAGCAGGAGCTGGTTTTCAAAGTTAGTAGAGTTCATTCTAGCTCGGTTTGCAGTGAAAAGCAGTCTAGCACAGCTGAAGAGGCGCTCACAAGCAGCAGAAGCAGGCAGGCCAGTGTTGAGTTTGAGAGAGAGCTTTTTGATGAGAGGAAAAGAGTTCAGTAGGTCCATTTTGTCTGAAACACAGGCAAGGAACCCATCTAGCTCACTTGTGCCTTTTGACTTTTTGGACTTCAGTGATGAGAAGAAATCGTCCTCATCTGATGAGTGGCCGACATGCTCCATCTCATCCTCTGTCATGTGCTCAATGTGGTGCTTCACATAGGCCAAACCTGTGTTAAGTGACAAATACACACAAAACACATAGAATATATCAGACATTTAGGCTTTCATTTATGTGGCAACTTAATTCATCATAATGTTGCCGTTACAAAAACCAAAACATTTTCTACATTCATGTAGACAGGCTCATTATTTTGTTGCATATATGATATTGGACTAAGCCTTCTTAAAGGTGGCAAAAATGTTTTGCTGCTGGCCCTGTGCACAGCAGTACACTGCTTTGCTTCTATGCTGAAGAAGTGGAGACTCCTCTTCTCCAAACTTTGTGTGAGGTGACCAGCATCTACAGTAGGTGATACACTGACTATATGTAGTTTATACATCCCCCATCAATAATCCAAATGATACTTTTAATAATAATAAGTGATGAAAATCATACCTGCTCCTATGACGTTGGCTTTCTCAGTCCAAGTGGTCTTGAATTTTGGCAGAAGGATCGCTGCAGCTATCAGTTCAGGGTCTCCCATCATCCCACCAAAGCGCTTCTGGACACCAACCTGAATGGCTCTGATTAGTGGTAGGCACAACTTGCAGGATACTTCCAGTCGTCCGAGTTTTGCTTCTAACTGGAAGATCACTGGCAGCAGCCATCCCATGTGTGTGTTCGTCTCTGACTGAAGGATGTTTAATGCCTTCGTCACAGGCTTCATCATGGTGCAGTACTGGGTCAAGAAGGCGATTTCAGCCGGACTCAGCCTATATGACATAAAGCAAATATAAACAGATAAATACTATGTTTTAAATTAGAAGTTTGCCACAACCAAAATTCACAAAATGTCAGAAATTCAAGTCAACACCCCAAAGCCAAACCACTCTGTGCTAAGGATTACCAGCAATCAGATGCTTTATTTACCCATCTCACTAGTACTACTGATAATATTGATACTTTGTGGTCATTTTTATGATATCAAATAAGTCCACTCATGTTCTATTCAGACTGTATGCTCAATGTGTGTGTATTTATGTACTATTCTCCCTCTGTGTTTTATGGAAAAAAGGTGTAATTGAAAATGTAATGGAGAATGTGTGAGAGAGTCATTATTTCAAACTGTGAATAGTGCTTACATAATGTATTCCATTTCAGGAGTACTCACATTTTCACCTTGAATTTCTCACAGACATTTCTGATGGCGCCCTCTCCCTTCTCGTGTGTAATTTGTATGATCCTCTCCACAGCCATGTATGTGGAGTTCCACCGTGTTTGATTTGGCCGTATGAACTGGAGGTTGCATTCTTCTTCCACAGTTTCTGCAGCCATGTGTGACCGACCTGTTTTGTTCCACAGTCCTTGGCATTTCCCAAAGACTGCACGTGATAGCCATTTGTATGTATCATTCTGTTCTTCTGCCTTGGCAGCATCTGTTGTGGCGATTAAGTTTAACAGGTGACACGCACACCTTTGATGAGGAGGCAGTTGGTATTCAAGACCGTTGTTTTCTTCCAGGATGTTGAATGTGTCTTGATGGGTGACTCTGGGCTCTTCTTCAGAAGAGTCTGACTCGGCTTCCGTGGACGGGCTGTGCTCCCCAAACACGCTGAATGCTTTGATAAAATTTGACCCGCTGTCTGTTGTGGTTCTTACAACTTTTCCCCTTAACCCGTACTGACAGTGAACGTCATCAAAGGCACCTGCTAGCACATCGAACGTGTGGGACCCCCTGAACCTCTGGCATGCAAGTACAACAGATCTTCTTTCAAACGTTTCTTCATCTTTCCAATGACAGGTGACCCCTATGAAACTTCTCTGGTGTGCTGTCCAACAATCGATGGTAGTTGCAACATAACTGACTCCACTGAGGTGTGACACCACAGCCTTCTTCATTTGAGTGGAAGCTGCCTGTATTCTGGCCCGGAGAGTGGGTCTGGAAATGATCTTGCATTGAGGATTCAGTGTTGATACAAGTTCTTTAAAAGCAGGTTGTTCAACCACAGCAAATGGATGAAGGCCTTCACAAATGAAGTTAATCAGAACCTTGTCAACTTTTGCTTGTGGCACATGTTTGGTTCCACACACTGCCACCAAGTCAGATATTTTTGCTTGCTTGCTTGGGGTTTTTTCTGGTTCCAGGGTCCGCTTCCGTGCTGCCACGAGGTCAGTGTGGACTTTCATCTTTGATGGATGTTTCCTCTGTGAACAAAAAACAAACATTGTCATATAAATAATCAATATATCAATCAATCAATCAATCAATCTTTATTTATATAGCGCCAAATCACAACAACAGTCATCTCAAGGCACTTTACACATAGAGCAGGTGTAGACCACACTCTTTAATTTAATTTTAAAGAGACCCAATATTAGAACAACACTAAAAGATTTTTTATTAGCCAAAACTTAATAACTTTTTGGTGCATTTTTCAATGTGTTAATACACTCATATGCAATTTCAACACATATCATAGCAATAGCATAATTTTGTGTGAAATTAAGGAATGAGTCAAGTTTGATTGTTTAAAATGAAGCTTACTAGCTTTACTACCAAGTAAGCTAACGTTAACTAGCACTATAAAGCTGGCTGCTAACACTGACGTTAGCATACCATGATTGAGTAAAGTTATTAATTGCATGGATCCATGATTAATTGCATGTAACGTTATTTAGCTTCACGTGAGGTTATCTTACCTGTACATGCTTGCATAGGTTGGAAGCAGAGTTTTTGTAGGTGGATAGCTGCGTCTCTTTCGGCATACAAAGTTTACATTGCATGATGAAATTGTTCTCATTCGCGGACTTGAACTCAAATAAGTCCTTTAAGTATGGCCAGGGATTGGCCTCAAGTTCTCCGTGCGTGTCTCTGTGTCCCAAATTCGACCCTTCTCCATCGACACACTTGTCTCCAACCACGCACTCGTCTCCATCCTCTTTTAGCTAACATTAGCTCCTCTGTGGCACTGGCACCAACGTCTTGACGTTTCTGACCTTCTGGCACTGCAGTTGTCCAGAGCCAATCAGACGGACGGTTACTGGCACGCAGACGCAGTGCAAGTTCATCTATTTTTTTTTTTTTTACTTTGTAACGGAAGCTATTTAAAATGTAGTGAAGTAAATTACTTCCAACAATATGTACTTAAGTAAAAGTAAAATTACTGATTTTAAAAATTACTCAAAAAAGTACAAGTACACAAAAAAACTACTCAATTACAGTAACGAGAGTAAATGTAACTCGTTACTTTCCACCCCTGGCAACAGGCCCCTGCTCCCTCAGGTAAAACCCAGCCAGACAATCAGGGCAGGCTTCAGGTGTGCTGTGGTTGAGCTGTTTTGCAGTGAAGATTATCACATGTGGAAATTTGGAAATGTGTTAGTACTTAAAGTGCAAGACTTAACGTTACAGATTGCAGTGTGCATTGGTGTGATGTGGGAACTTAACCCCTACTCTGTAAGTGATTGCCTGCTGGACAAATCCTGAGTAGGGTGAGGTGGGAGAAGATACGATCATTTGTCAAATTTCTGTGATAAAAAGACTTTCTTCCTTACATCATTTCCTGTCATCACTTATGCTAGAGACCTGTAGTGGGTGTAACAATTATATTTTTAATTTGTTTTTTTGTTTACTTCAGAGCCCTTGTTCGATTCTACGGCGCGGCACTGGTTTCCTTTAAGGGGCGTTTCAGGAAGTGTGTTATAAGGAGAGTTACTGTAAGTAGCTTCCCAGACTGTCATTAGTCCCAGACTTTGAGGAAGTATTGCCATCTAGTTTCGATCATATTCTAGTTGTTGAACAGATTATGGCTGCTGTGGAGACAGATGTGCTCGGGGACTCGTCGCACCCTATGAAATGACGCTGCCACAATGCTTTTCGGTGTCCTGTGCTTTCTAGTCGTCGTCCAAGGTAATTAGTTAGCATTAACTTAGCAGTTAAGGTTTCGTGTTACAGCTAACCTACTTCTCTGTGCTTGTTGTGAGGCAACATCCCGTGTGTGTGTGTGTGTGTGTGTGTGTGTGTGTTCGTGTGAGAGAGAGAGAGAAAGAGAGAGAGAGAGAGAGTCAGAAATTAAACTGAGGTGTCCTCATGTAACCCATGCCAACGTTCGCTAAAACCCACACACAGGCCTATATAACGCAGCCTGTCTGTGTTTATTAAGGTACCAGACTAAATTTAAAAAATCACTCTTTAAAGCCTCCTTTCGCGTCGACAGTGTTGAAACACGGAGGCACAACAGAACACAGCCAGCTTCCTTTTTTTTGTGCGACACTTCCGGTCCAGTACTCTTGACCACTGTGTAAATGGGAATCGGCTTGTTGTTTACCTTGTTGAGTTTAGCTATATATATATATATATATATATATATATATATACACTGACGGTTGTGCTCATAAGTTTACATACCCTGGCAGAATTTATGATTTTTTGGCCATTTTTCAAAGAATATGAATGATAACAAAAAAACTTTTCTTTCACTCATGGTTAGTGGTTGGGTGAAGCCATTTATTATCAAACAACTGTGTTTACTCTTTTTAAATCATAATGACAACAGAAACTACCCAAATGACCCTGATCAAAAGTTTACATACCCCACTTCTTAATACCGTGTATTGCCCCCTTTAACATCAATGACAGCTTGAAGTCTTTTGTGGTAGTTGTGGATGAGGCTCTTTATTTTCTCAGATGGTAAAGCTGCCCATTCTTCTTGGCAAAAAGCCTCCAGTTCCTGTAAATTCTTGGGCTGTCTTGCATGAACTGCACGTTTGAGATCTCCCCAGAGTGGCTCAATGATATTGAGGTCAGGAGACTGAGATGGCCACTCCAGAACCTTCACTTTATTCTGCTGTAGCCAATGACAGGTCGACTTGGCCTTGTGTTTTGGATCGTTGTCATGTTGGAACGTCCAAGTACGTCCCATGCGCAGCTTCCGGGCTGATGAGCGCAAATTTTCCTCCAGTATTTTCTGATAACATGCAGCATTCATCCTGCCATCAATTTTGACCAAGTTTCCTGTGCCTTTGTAGCTCACACATCCCCAAAACATCAGCGATCCACCTCCATGTTTCACAGTAGGAATGGTGTACCTTTCATCATAGGCCTTGTTGACTCCTCTCCAAATGTAACGTTTATGGTTGTGGCCAAAAAGTTCAATTTTGGTCTCATCACTCCAAATGACTTTGTTCCAGAAGTTTTGAGGCTTGTCTCTGTGCTGTTTGGCATATTGTAAGCGGGATGCTTTGTGGCATTTGCGTAGTAATGGCTTTCTTCTGGCGACTCGACCATGCAGCCCATTTTTCTTCAAGTGCCTCCTTATTGTGCATCTTGAAACAGCCACACCTCTTTTTTCCAGAGAGTCCTGTATTTCAGCTGAAGTTATTTGTGGGTTTTTCTTTGCATCCCGAACAATTTTCCTGGCAGTTGTGGCTGAAATTTTTGTTGGTCTACCTGACCGTGGTTTGGTTTCAACAGAATCCCTCATTTTCCACTTCTTAATTAGAGTTTGAACACTGCTGATTGGCATTCTCAATTCCTTGGATATCTTTTTATATCCCTTTCCTGTTTTATACAGTTCAATTACCTTTTCCCGCAGATCCTTTGACAATTCTTTTGCTTTCCCCATGACTCAGAATCCAGAAACGTCAGTGCAGCACTGGATGAAAGATGCAAGGGTCTGTCAGGAGCCCAGAAACTCACTGACCTTTTATACACACACACTGATTACAAGCAAACAGATCACAGGTGAGGATCGTTACCTTTAGTAGCCATTCAAACCCATTTGTGTCAGCTTGTGTGCATGTTATCAGGCCAAAATCTCCAGGGTATGTAAACTTTTGATCAGGGTCATTTGGGTAGTTTCTGTTGTCATTATGATTTAAAAAGAGTAAACACAGTTGTTTGAAAATAAATGGCTTCACCCAACCACTAACCATGAGTGAAAAAAATGTTTTTCTCTTATCATTCATGTTCTCTGAAAAATGGCCAAAAAATCACAAATTCTGCCAGGGTATGTAAACTTATGAGCACAACTGTATATATATATATATACATATATATCTCACATTTTCACATCACTATATAACCGTTTAGACTAATCTGATGTTTGTAAAGTCTATAAACACAATGACTGAACAGACATTACTATTTCTGTGTGTGTAATTAATAACATGGTTATCGTAGATAATAACTCAATAACCGGTCCGTGAAAAAAATGTTTTTTCCAGCGGATGGCTTAGTTACAACATGATTGAGCTAACTGGAGTAGTTTCATGTCGTATCAGACAACGGGAGGTTTTTAACAGATGATGTCCTGATGTTAGCTTTGCTGCTGCTGTTAGCTGACCCTGTCAGCTGCAGCCACTGATGCTTTCTAGACATCCTGATTTCCCAAAACTGAGTAAATACCACACATAGCAACACAAAACTGCTTTGCTAGCTCAATCCTGTTGTAACGGATGGATGGTTGATGCGTACATGCTGATTCGGGTGCTATCAGAGCCGATCTGCGCATCACTATGGCTTAATAATCACTCAGTCAATAAAAACAACCCATCCTGTGTTGGGAGTATATGTCGCTGACAGAAAGAAAGAAAGAAAGAAAGAAAGAAAGAAAAGGGGAAAAAGAGACAGAAAAGCAGCGTACACCTCACATATTTATTTCTCACAGTTGCGCACACGTTTGGCTGGCATGCAGACGCACCGTCTGTGTGTCGAGGGTGCGAGCCGCAGCTTCAGCTGCTCAGGAGAGAGGCTTAGCCCGGTGTGTTTTTTCACTGATTCGGTTCTGCAGGTTCTCTGCTGGTACACTGGAGACGGGGATCAAGCAGTTTGTCTCACTCGGGATAGACTGCGCTTTTTTGGTTCATAGTTTTTGATTGACGTGCGATTTATTCGCGTTTAGAGGGAATTATTTTTACCGGCAATTACCGGATAACGGAAACGTGGGCACAGTTATCTATATAAAATACACAGACTAACTAATTAACTAACTAACTGATTGACTAACATAAACAATTGAAAACTGAAACACAATTAGCTTGCACCGTTAGCTCCAGTGTTCCAGATTTACTCGCGACCCTGTTAACTGGCGACCTTCAGCTGAATGCGTTTATGGTTGTCGTAGTGACAAAAGCTGTTTTCAACCAGGAAGAGAACACGTAGCTGTCCTCGTGAAGGCCATTTTCTGTCTATGAGAGGGAGGTGGAAATCACTGTTGAACCCAAAATGAATATCCGAATATCCAATGTCAAACTAACTTCACCTCGGTACTCTAAAACGCTTTGCAGGAGTTAATGGACTTTCATACCACATAGCCTACAGCCTAGTGTTTGCCTTAATGCTACAACATAAATAGATAATTTATCTTAGAGAGAAATCTATTGTACAGCTGCTGCTTTACTGCTTAATTTAAAATAAAGCATTTCCATGTGAGTATATGAATATTGACTTTATCGACCTGTAGCACAACAATAAACGTTAGGCTTATGAATTAAGTGGGTTTAAACCGCTGGTTTTTGTATTGGAAAGCAGTGAGATTGTAAAATGTCCCTCAGTGCATGGACAGTGTGGTCACAAGTTGATCTGGCTGCCTCCCAATTTGAAGATATAGCTGGCTGTATGTTGTCGGATTTTTATTGGATCTGTCAGTGACATGGTGTTGTAATAGCGGGTTCGAATCCCGTGAAAATATTCTTTTTTTACGTTTCACTGGGCTGAACGGTTCTTTAATATGGCACGTTTATTTAGGCAGGCACCAGAGACGAAACTGTGTAGGCCTATTTAGAAAATTTATTCAAGATAGGAGTTAGATTTAGCCTACAGGAAAAGCAACTTGGCCTCTTCCAGTTTTCAACATTCCGACATAACAAGTGTGATTCAAACCGCGACTGAGTGTCGGTCCGTGACTGGGTTCCTCCAACAAGAGTCCAAAGACGGATCAGGTCAGCTATGTTTTAATATTGTTATGAAAAATTGAGTGAAGAGGCCTTCGCAGGGTCCGACATTAACGGTTGCCAGAATGCCCGGGGCAAGTAAAAATAGCCGGCGGGCCAGCAGACCCTGCGCAGACATGCCCGATCGGGCAAGCAGCACCGACTCGGACACACACACACACACACACACCGGACAGCCTCTCAGTCCTTAGCCGCTAACGTTAGCTCATGTACAACACAGGTACCACACAGAAACTTTTACAAAGGGTCATAATGTGCTTCTAGTGACTGTCAAATCGCCAGCGAAAGATGTTTTAAATGCGGACACGGAGAGCATGCTGCCTGCTCTCATGGGACAAAGATCCTCTGAGAAGAAAGACGGTTCACTCTGCTCTGCCGCCAGGAACAAACTGAGAGGCAAAGATCCTCTTTGAAGAAGAGGGTTCACTTTGCTGCAGGGTTCACCAAAACGTTTTTTTGTTTTTTCTTTTAATAAATTGAACACACATTAAAGAACATACAAGATCCTGTAGAGAATTAATACATATAACACAATACAATAAACACTGTCAAATTAAATGAAGGAAGAGAATTTTTTTAAAGGCAAATTAAATATTGGGGATTTATGTAAAAATATCCATAGAGACATATAAATAATTATATAATTAAAGATATGTAGGCTATGTTAGGTGAATACTCCTGTCAGTGACCCTGACCACTGGCATTGGCAAAAGAACTGGAGTTGGTCCCCGGA